AAAATAAGTATATATAAAAAAATAAGTATATATAAAAATATCCTTAGAAAAGAACAGCAATAAATGGATCACACAGGTTTTACTAATTAAGTTGCTATTTAATTAACTGGAATAATGTTTTTTTTTTTGTCCAATCACAATGTCCCCACTAGCTTCATTAGTTACACAGCACCTGAAAACAGAGGAAATTGAATAATGTTACACAAAGCAGCACATACTTGTAAAAGAAAAAAATATAAAACTCTTATAACCCATGATTCTTCAGAAAACTGATATTTTCAGAAATGGTAACAGAAAGGATAATATATTCATGCGTGTTCCAATATAATGTGTCTTGGAATAAAATGTAGTCTTTGCATAGAGAAGTCACGACATAACTTTCAGCACTAAAAAATTAAGTAAATTCCGTTTTTATCGATTCATACATTTTGTTTTCATTACGTTTCACATATAATGTATCTATAGCCAGGGTCTAAGTGCAGTATTAGATTGTTAATGCAAACATTATGCTCGGATCATTAGAAATACTGTTCACTTTTTCGTGAGTAAAAACGTGTACATAGAAATCTTATTTATTTATTTTTATTAACAGATAATAAGAATGCGATCATAGAGACGTAAACTGTTATGCAAACTATGGATACTGTTAAATTCGCACACAGCCAAGTTTTAAAGCAGCGTGAAAATTGAGGCAAGATCGTGTATTCAAACTGCACATGCACATGGTAAGTCGAGAATGTATGACACTCAAACACGCACACACACACACATAGATACATATATATATATATAAACTTCTTCGAAAGGCAGAGACTCGAAAGCAGCATTTATTTATTGGCGTGTGTTAAGTAGCGAACGAGCATGCGCAGTTAACTCGGGTAGGACATTTTCATGGCAGGATCAAGGTGCTGCTGGATAGTTACATTTTCCAGAAAGCTGAATGTTACTATTGAAATGTCAGATGAGATCAGATATTCGATACAGCACAAGAGATCTCGAGGTAATCAAGTGCAGAAGAAACAGAATGACTACTAAAGCAGATCGTTTTCTTCTGCATGTGTAGGAACGTATACAGTATATATTATGTGTCTCACCCGGCTCGTCCGATCCTCGTGTGTGCCACACCCCCCTCGTTAAATCGTATTACTTCCTGATTGGGATCACCTGTTACTTGTTCAGTTCAGCCTGTCTATAGTATTTAGTCCGTGTCTCAGTCAGTATCCCCCAGTTCTGTCATTGTATTGTTGTAATGTTTGGTGTTTGTCGCCAGTCTGCCCTTAATAAAACCCGTCTACCTGTCGGTCCGGCTCAGCTCGCCTGCTCCGCGTAACGTGACATTATGTGATTTAGTATGTATTTTAAAAATAATTATTTTTTATTATGAACTGTTATGAATATAAATATTTTATACTGATCCAGGTCTCAGCTGCCAGCAAGGTCATGCTGCAGGTATACTGTACTGATGTTATTGAGGAACGGTTCATATGTCAGCTGGGCATGTCTAAATATAGAAACTAAAAAAGATCGAATGGAATTCATAACCATATTGACATGATGAAAAATCACCCTCTTCCTCCACAAGACACCCTGAACCCCTATGGGAATGTATTAACCATTTATTTTATTATTCACAATCAAGTTTAAACAGTTTAAGCATTATATGAACTGGCAATTTATGATTAAATTCCTTAACTTCCTTAACCTTGGACAATGAATGTCTGGCGATGCTTAAAATGCTTCGTCAAAAATTCTAGCTGTTAAACTCTCTACAGAAAGGCAAAAACAAATACTCATTACAGTCCATTTTTCTTATTCATTCTTGTCTTTTTTGTAGGTAATGATACTGCTTGTACACTGACTGTTCATCTGACATCCTCTTAGAACCTTTAAGCGCATAATTTGGGGCATTCTGTGTGAACTGTCTCCCCCTGTCTCCACAAACAGTGCCTCCCTTACTGTTCCATCTGTCATACTGTTATATAAAAGTCGACCTGTCTGCTCTTGGCCACAGAAATCTGCACATCTCATTTTGGATGCTGGTTACATATTGTGTATGTGTGCTGAAAGAGTAATGGCTCCTGATTTAATATGAGTCAGAAGATAGATTCCTCATTAATCATACATGATTAATATCTACCCTGGAAAAACTAATTAGAAAAACTTTTACCAAATTATAATTAATGCCCATATTTATGTCAGTCCCATAAATTGGAGCGTAATTATGAGCTCAATTAAGAAACTGATCCAGGGGCAAGAATCTGGCATAATATTTGTGTGTGTTCCTGTGTGTGTGCAATTTCCTTTGCATTTGCATGTGGGCATTCTCATGAACACTGCACACATTATGCAGCATCCATTACAAAAGAACTACACAGCTTTAAGTCACAGATTAAGGGTCTGTATCACCCCATGCCACGTCGGTCAAGTCTCAATAAGCAGGACACCATATACATCAGTATCCCCTTGTTTTCTCAGTAAGGTAGGGGATCCCAACTTGGAACTTACACTGAAGTGCAAAGACAAGACAGAAGTAGTGTAGCAGAAAATGAGCAAATGGAATTATTTTTGTATCTCAATTATGTTAATTGCATTAATGAATACCTTTTTTTTAGTTGGGTCTCCATTTTTCTGCATTAAAAAATTTCATCGATAAACAATATATTTTTGTCTAATATTGAGGGTGCCAGCAGTGAAGCTTGCCAGCACTTATTAGCAGAATAACATCACAGTGTTTTTATCATGTGGAAAAAGATCCATTTTCTGGTCAGATTTAATAATGAATTATAAACATGTTGCAGGCTTGCTTTGGTTTTTTACTGCAGAAGGGAGGGCTCAGTAAAGCTCTTGCGGGTTTGGAGAGCAACAGTGATTTAAAACCAAAGAGATTTTTTTTTTTTCTGTTCACAGGGTGTGCATCATGATTTACTATGTGTTAATTTACATGAGCACAACTGTGAGAATCCTTGTGTTATGTTGGCATCAAGCGCTAGTGGAATTAGCTTTAATAAAGCTTCAGTTTGAATCCATTCCATTCAGCTATCCTATAGTACTTTTTTAAGTAGGAGGTTGGAAATTTTCAAGCTCCAAGCATCAATACATCATGATGTGCTATACTACTATAAATGAATTAATATATAGAATTTGCCATTTTTTCCTTCAGATAGTCCATGCATACCAATGCAAGTGACCTGTATCTGCATGCACTTTGACCAATCAGATGGTGGTGACGCAGCCAGCTCAGTTTAGTCACACTTTCCGTTCTGCTAGTAAGTACTGGTCAGGTACAGCTTGCATAATTTACAATGGAAAACTGCCTCTTCTCAGTACAGCTCAGTTCTTGGTGGCAGTGGAAAAGTGGCATAACCAATGAGCTTTTTGAGTCCCCCATGCTAATTTAGCATAAAGGTCACAGTTCCTGTTGTGTGACATGAGGTAAAAACACATTTATTGGCTTTCACAGTTCCAGATGATCCATCCGGTAATTCTACAAATTGCAGAACTTGGGGTGTGTGGGAGGATTAGTGATTAAATGGGGGGGGGGGGGGGGTGACAGGTCTGTTTGAGGAATATATTGCTGTCATTCCAAGAGTATCGTTTATAGGTAAATCTATTAAGTTCGACCTGCCAATTGATTTGCCCCTCTACCAAAACTATACCGAAAACTTTATTTACAGGTAAATCTGAAAATACTGTCAATAAGAAAACATTTTGCCATGGACACTTTTGTACAGACAGGTTGACAATCTCTGCCAGAGATACGAGCAAATAGGGTTTCCAGTTTCGGAAGAAATACAGGATGTCCCTCCACCCCCACCGCCCAGGTCCCCAACAATTACATTTGTTGAGCAGGGCAGAAAATCGTGACATAAATCACATTCCCCAATAGTTCAAAACCAGACACAGCATTTTAATTTTCAATATAGGATGGGTGGAAACGATCAGCAGTGTCTAACATGCCCCTTGGAACAAGTAGTGAGGTGGTCAGCGATAAAGTTCAGCAACAAGCTATACTGTTGGCTTTTTTAAATGTTATGCCCTGTGATTAAAAAAAAAATTATTTTCGTATTTATTTATTAAAATTAGATTTCGTCTCCATTCAGTTTGTTGTCTTTCTGAATCAGTTTATAAGCAAAAATGCAGCCTTGAAGCAAAGAAATAATGGCGATTATTGTGGTAATTATCAATATTGATTGATGTGATGAAAATTACGTGATGAAATATTTTGCCATATCGCTCAGCCCTACATCACATATAATTCTCTTTGCTTGGTGTGAGATATCAGCTTGCATAGTTATGCCTTTTTTGTTTTCATTATCAAAGAGGAAAGTTGTTTAAAAGAAGGCAACTCTTTTGTGAGTGAAGAACCCCCTGAATGCCATTAAAAAGGGTTTCCTTTATGGCACCAGATCTTCAGCCCGGATCAGTGTCTTACTTCCCCGGATCTAACCCATGTGTCTGTTATCTTCCGGCCTCCCGATGCAGACACAGGAAGAGGATGGATGCTTCCACTCGCGGGCCTCCTGGGCCACTAGAGACAGGCTCATCCAGTGGGCCCTGTAGCCCAAGGGACCTCCTGCGGGGGCGCCATATGGTAGCCCTGGACAGCCCTGGGCAGCGGCGAAAGACTGGAAGGCACGAGTCACTCCAGAAAACAGAGAGCCCTCCCATTCGCCATTCCCCCTCTTCAGGCCAGTATGGCTGCCTCTCCGAGCCCCTTGGAAAGCCGCTAGACCCAGATACCATCGCTCAGGTCAGTGGAGGGTCACAGGCATCCAAGGGCCCACAAAATGTCAGTGTTTAATCTTTCTGCTCCTGTCACATATTTAGTGTTTACAAAAAACAATAATCCCTGACCACTGCCCCTATGTATTCTAAATCACCAGTGATATAAACTGGAAAAATAAGTCTGTTTTTTTAGTTGTTTGTTGTATTCACTTCACATTGTCAATGTTTGCCTAGATTTTTTTATTAGCAAAATGCATGTGTTTGTGCTGTGACAGACCCCAAACCCGCTTCCTGCATAGGGATAGGGTTAAAGGGGTAAAGCCCACCACCCAAAATAAACACATGGAAAAGTGGCTATAGAAGGGTCATGAAGGTTCAATGAGAGGTTCCCCTCTGCCTGTCCAGGACATAGAGGACACGATGAATACGGCCTTGAATGAGCTACGGGAGTTGGAGCTTCAAAGCTCAAGCAAGCCGGCCCCAGATGTGGTGCTGGACACGTTGGAGCAAATCAAGAACGCCCCCCCACCTGCTAGTCTGCCACCTCACAGCCCCCTCCGCAGCCTGCTCCTGCGCCCATCAGAGGCAGCAACCCTATACCGTGGCCCTGGCTCATCTTCCGACTCCTTAGCCACCTTCAGGCCCGCCGTGGCTCCCCGCATGGGAGTCCAGCTCAGGCCTCCTATTCTGCGGCCCAAGCCCCTGGTGCTTCCCAGGCCAGGCACATCCCAGCCGACAGCCCCCACTTTGCAAGGGCCTCTGGACAAGACCTGCACTATGTGACTCCTCCCCTAGTCACTTTGGAATGATGCACATTATCCCTGTCGTTGAAGTCATTGGTCATAAGCTAAATTAGGCATCTCTAAACTGCTTAGATAAAGGGGGAAGGGACACTACAATGACTGTTACAAGTTAATGAAAGAATGTATCAGATGACAGATATGTCTCCAGTTATTATTGAATTTGTAAACCTGTCTACAGGGGATTATTATATTGCTCTGTTAGCCACCATAGTGAGAGCATTTATTTTATGTGCAAGAAATAGTTATAAAGGTGTCTTTTGGAGAATAGTTTTAACTTAGCATATTATAAATACATATTGCTATAATACAATGATATTTGTAAGACAATTCTAGTTAAAATGCAATAAAGAACACATCACAAAGGTTTCCTATATGGTTAGGTGACTTCTCAGTGGTAGCTGTAACGAGAGTTCCCCTTCCCTTGGTGTGAGTTTGAATTGGGGTATTGTAGGAAATGTAGTCTATTACTCTAAATATGTTCGCCTGAACTGTAATGCTGCCATTTGTGATTTATACAGCCTTTTATATGACCGCCACATAGAAATCGAAGCCTTCCCTTTGTCCTGAATAAAGTTTAACAGCATCTCTGCTAAGCAGCTCTATAGTTGTTGGTGTAACATGGAAAAGAAGTAGTATGACCAGGGTACATTGTGCTGGGATTAGCATGTTATAAGTTCTTAGTTCACTTATGTAGTGCGCTCCTGTGCACGTTAATGGCACTTCAAGTGAGAGGAACAACCTATATAGCACATTGAATGCTTCAAATGTCATCCAGTCCCACTGTGTTAAAAAAACATATGAGTCTGTTTTTAAATCCAGATTATACTTACCTTGTTTTAGCATAGCTTTAATGTAATGTTTGATCATTTATGACATTATCTGCTGGTCAGCAACTGAATATAGCCACTAGTCCAAAAGTTCCTTTCAGTAAAGAGGTTTATGGGAGCATTGGCCATCCCTCGCTAGCATCATGTCTCAGAGTGGATGTCCATTCATTCTGATCTATCGCTGTAAGTCAGGAGCCAGTAAAACACCTGACTCATTTCTCAGCCTGGGCAAAGAACTATTCAGTCATCTTTAAACCTATCACTGCTGCCCCATTTTGCGGTCATTTCCCCGAAAGGAACAATTCCGGTAGCCATTGACTTTCTGACTGTTATTGTCAACATCTACCCTGTCCAGTAGTGTTGCGCGGGTCGGCAACCCCAAACCGAGCCGTCAGGAGATCCAAACCTTTCAAAAACCCACAAGTTTGCTTTGATTTGATGATCATGCAGTTTCCGATAGTAATTGTCCTGCCCCGATCGTCCGCTCCTTCCGTGTGCCACGCCCCCTCGTTAACCTAGTGTGGAATCCCCGTGTGATCAGCTGTTTCTGGTTGTTTTCATTAGTCCTCTGTATTTAGTCGCGTTTGTTTGTTTCCCCAGTCCGGTCATTGTAATATCACTGCGTGTTTCCCTGCCTTTTTTTTATTTATTATTTAAAAAAAAAAAAAAAAACAATGCTCCCCGATTTCCTGACTGCCGCTCCTCTGTCTCCGCTCCGCGTCCCGCATGCGGCACGACAGTAATACTACAATTTTCGGTACGATAATAGCCAATCTGCTTACCTAAAAAACACAGTTGGTGGACAACTTTCGCCAATGTGCAAATAGCGTTCAATTATTAAGAAAATTAATCCCAATATTAAAATTATACGTACCTTATGAATGGTAGAGGCAAACGGAGTCAAAAACGGGAAACTGTGATCAATAAAATTCAAATACGTGCAAAAAAATAAATAAAACCATAAAAACTGGAATAGCGAGCAAAAAAGCAGCGATCTCAAATAGTTAACTATTGACTTCCACTCGTACATTTCTATTAGCGCGTTGCGGAACGAAGCAGGAAACAAAAATGAACAAGGCTAGTTTCCAAAACTTTTCCATAACTTTTCCTCTCTATCCAAGAATTCCAAAACTTATCCAGGGTTTTCCATGACCGCAGGTACCCTGATTGAAGATGATGACACAATTCTATGCAAGATTAACTGTGTACCAAGCAACAACAAAGAAACCGAAAGATCGATTTTTACGTCGTTATTTATTGAAGGGATGCGGAAAATAGCACGAAAGACATCTCTCTCGCACACACACAAACACACACAAGCGCGCATGTATGCAAAACAGACTAGTTGTCAAAACTGTAACATCTGATGTAACATCAGATCTGAGAACTCTATCAGATTTGAATGAACTTAGTAGAACTTGGGTCTTCTTTTAACTTAATTTAGTCTCAAATGAAGTAGAGCAGAGCATAGGCCTACTTAATTAACCGTGATATTTCACCAAACTAGCTTATCCTACAAGTTGAAAACTCCAAAATTGAAAAATATTACCCCGTTTACAACACATTTTGATCGATAATGAAATGCATTTTGTAACTTTTTGACCCGCCCGCCCGCACCCACGATATTTAAAAAATGTCTGGCCTAAAACCGCCCACACCCGCGGGTCACGGGTCGACCCGCGCATCACTACTGTCCAGTCTGTTTACTGCTCTTCGTTTCAATAGTCTATTGCTGTGGGCAGGATATTGAGGACAAACTAATCAAATTTCCAAGTGGATATTTCTTTAGTAATCACCAGTGATGTAAAAAACTCCAAGTGTCACAACTGTGGTAATGCCCAGCAGACAGTAGAGCCATTCGGCAAGTTAATTTTCAGCATCAAGGAGCCACTGTATGGGAGCAGGCCAAGTGAGTACTGGACCACACCCTTTTCAGTACACTCACAGGTGAAAACAAGAAGGAAAAACCCAACCTCCTGTCATCCAACAGAAGAACAAATAACCTTTGTTTTCTTGCAAATATTTTACTAAGAAAATTTCTCATCCTGGGATTGACCCCCATTTAATTTTAATATGTTTTTGTAATTTACAGAAGAGTCCAAATGAAGGACTCAGACTAGTGAGAGACCTGAGGACTGTTTCTGGTTCTTTTCCTCCATCTCCGGTCTGGCTCACTAACTTTATGCTGGCCCACTCTCTGACTTTCACCCTATATATCTTTGTAGAATGTACATGTAAGTGCCTTTGGACATGTCTCTTGCAAGAGTTCATTCTATATATGTAACGTTTTCACTTTAAACCACTTCTGTTTAACTGGTGCAGAAGGAACATGCAGTAATAATAACAACCCACTGCTGGAAATGTAACGAAATGTAACTGTAATGTTTCAATTCTGGAAATGTTAGACATAAGTAAATAGTATAAGGTAAGTTACTACGAATGCGTTGTGACATTGCAATTTTATGTATCGGAGTGTATATGTGGCATGTAGCATTACAAAGCGTTGGGGGCACTTCAGGGTGTGCTCCTCTCAAAGTGTCTGTGAAATAAAGAAGGTGGTGCCCGCTCATGTGGTCTGGTTCTTGTGTCCTAGAGAACCAGAACAAGGGGAGATGTGATATTGGCCGCAAATGCAGTGCCTTGCAACGGTATTGAGCTCCCCTTAAATTGATCAGATTTCTTATAAAATCCACTAGTATTTTGTTGCATCCATTCTCCCTTCAATTTTCACAAGATGCCCAGTTCCAGAATTTGAAACGAATTTCAATTGCATGATGCTTTTGCCACCATATTTAACTGTAGATATGGTGTTAATTGACACATGGGCCACAAATAGGGCCTGTATGAATGTATCACAAAGCTGGATTTCTTGCTTAGCTGTATAACCTGTCAGATTTAAGGTACCCGAGTTTCAATGGACTTTCTTTGTTCACTGACATTTAGCCCAGACTACCGTAAAACTGACGTGTTATCCTGTTTTGTGATGGAAGCCCATAGTGTTTTGAATTTTGGCAAAAAAAATCTCTATCTTTGTCTCATCAGACTACAAAACCTTTAACATAAGTAATTAATCAAATACACTTGTCAAAAATCACCAGACCAGACGAAGCCAGGCCTCCTGCCCGGGCAGAAGGGAAACCTCCCCGGCCAGCACAGGGACGGGGGGCCGTGTGGGTGAGAGGGAGGAGGTTTAGCGCGGTGTGGTTGGAGCTGGGGATGGGCAGTGGCCAGCTCCTGGAGGCCTCCCGGTGCTCCCCGCGGGCCCCTCTGCACTCCCCGGGCTGCCAGGCAGGACCAACATGCCCCGAAATCGGCCAGACGAAGCCAGGCCTCCTGCCCGGGCAGAAGGGAAGCCTCCCCAGCCAGCACGGGGACGGCGGGCCAAGTGGGTAGCTGGGGTGGGGGGGAGGGGGATGGGCAGTGGCCAGCTCCCGGCTCCCAGAGGCCTCCCGATGCTCTCCGCGGGCCCCTCTGCACAGTGCCCATTTAGAGCACACACACCCATACACTGTGCGCACACAAAGTGCCCAGTTACAGCGCACACACATAGCGCCCATTTAGAGCACACACACACACTGCACTGTTACAGTGCACACACACACAGACACAGTGCCCTGTTACAGTGCACACATGCACGGAGACCCCGGTCAGAGCTCACACACACAGTGCCCTGTTACAGCACAGACACACACATAAACACACACACAGCCCCCGGCTAGAGCTCACGCGCACACACACACACACACACACACACACACACACACAGTGCCCTGTTACAGTGCACATACACACACAGACACAGTGCCCTGTTACTGCGCACACACACATTTTATGCTGCCGTCTGGTGGCCAAAATTTAGTACTACCATTTAAAAACATTAAAATGATATTTTCTGGTAATTGCAATACTTACATTCAGCCAGGAGATGGCAGCAAGAAAATAGAAAAAAAAAAAATCCCACGGTTATTAGAACAATTCACATGGTAAATTTATGTGCGTATTTGTGTGTCTATGTTTTACTCCACTTTCGGGACAATTTTATGAAATGTGATCTATGCAAACACACACACACACACACACACACACACTGCCCAGTTACAGCGCGCGCACACACACACAAACACTCTATTAACTCTTCCACAGTTTTAACAGTACCTCTCAGTAGGCTTGCCAGACGGGGATTACAATTACGCAGAATAGCATGTACCACATCCTTCTGTGTCATGTCATTCTTCCATCGCAGACACAGTGCCCTGTACTGTACAGCAAAGGTACGGATGGTCTCTTTGGGTCCTTGTTTCCTCTCATGGATTCTTCTCTCTGCTTCTGCTTCATAATCCTCGGAAAGAAAAGATCTTAGGAAAGCATCCTTAAATTGACTCCATGTTCCAATGGCTCTTCTCTCTGCCAACCACCAATCTTTAGCAGTACCTGACAGAACAGATGACATTGTAGCTAGTACTTCCACATCGCTCATTGGTCTAACAGCTAAGAATTCTTCACACCTCTCAATATATGCCACTGGATCTTCATCTGATCCATGGCCAAAATGTGGAAACTCAATCTTAATGGCCGTTTTAAAATGACGCCCTTGGCAGCCAGATGGATGGGAATGACAAAAATATGGGTAAACCTGGACAGGTGTAGAAGATGGCAGAAC